GAACACGGAGCTGCATAGCAAACCAGCCTGAAAACACGGGAGTAGCCATGAAGGGTCAGGCTGAGGGCTCCTCTCACCTGGTGGGGCGTCTCTGACAGTTTCGGGTGCTTCGAGGAAGAGGAGAAAGAATAAAAGAGACACACAGCAATCCAGCTCCTGGCCATACCCTCCTGGCTTTTCCAGCAAAAGCAGGTTAGGGATACCCACTGCCAGGGGTTCTAACCGCATTCAGTAATGCTTGTAAGATTTTTCCTTATGTGAATTTGGCTAAATATTCTGAGGCTAATGAAACTTTGGGCCTCCATGGCACCCTGTAGCAGTGAGTTCCACAGTTTAATTACATACCATTAAAAAAAAACCAAAACTCCTTAAACCTGTTGCCTACTAAGACTTTACACTGTTGGTCTCCAAGAAAGGGCAAGGACTGACTAAGCCCAGAAGACTGATTCCCAGCTCTCATCGTAGTAGGCAGGCACAAGGGCAGTGTCTCGTTTTCCCTTTAATGAATATTGGTCTAACATCTGCTTGGTCTCCAACAGAGATGGTACATTCCAGTTGTTACCTTTCAGCCTTTATTTCCCCCAGTTACTCTTGGTTAAATTCAGGTTGATGACAGAAGGGCTGAAACGTTGATAGTCGGGCAGTAAAGTGCTTTTTTGCTTGGACAGCCAGACCGTGGGCTAAAACTGTGGCAAGAAGGACTGTGCTGATGGTTAAGCAGGGCTGTTTCAGGAACTGAGAGATGATGTCATTAGTGCTTCTGTAGGATTTATAAAGTGATTCTCTCTTTAGTGTTACCTCCTTGCCCCCTTGCAACTGTGCATCAGCACGTGCTTCTTCAGAACAACGTCAAGTGAATACGCAAGTATCTACCCAGTTTCAACATGTATTTTAAGAACAAGAGGCATTGGATAGTTCAGGGTTCATCGGATAGTTCAGACAGTGATGGCTCAGAGGGGAGGAGGAGCAGGGGATTGATTGTGGAGAGCAGAGAGCTCGAGGGAATTCCAGTGTAGCAGACAGATCTTGAGGAGAGATGAGGCTCTGGAAGGAGAGATTATGGCTTTGCTGGGCTCTGCAATGCTGACAGCAGCAATTCCTACCTCTCACCAGTCATTCTTCCTTATGTACCTGAGAAGATAAGATGGGAGAGCCGAGTCTCTCTGCAGGATGCCCATCACTGCCTGCATCCTGCTGGGATGGGAGAGTGAAGCTCCGAGTCTCTCTCTGCTTTGTTCCGAGGAGCATAGCTGCAGTAAGCAGCATAATCACCGCTCCCAAAAGCCTCAAGGTTACAGAGTCTGCTGGGGAGGATGAGAGTGTGTGTGTGAGTGTGTGGTGACTTGACATAAATATTAATCCATCTGAGCTTTCGGATTAGAGAAAGAAATTAATAGAGGAACCTGCATAAAGCATGAAAATAACTTGCATATCAGTCTAGTTTATTCATCTCCTGGGCAGGAAACACTCCTCCTCTCTCGTGAGCTGCAGTTACTGCAGGTTGTGGGGTAATTTTGCAGTCAATGATGAACTTACATGTTAAGGCTCGAGCTGATCAAGAATACCTGAGAAGGGCCTTGTGCCTCTGCTCTTGCTTATGGACCTCCTCCACCATCACCCTGCACCAGCTCTGGCACTCACTGGACTTTACAGTAAGCTAATTCGACCCACTAATCTGGCAAAAAACTAACTCAGATGAAAGAAATCAGCTGAGCAAAGGTCTGAAAAGTATGAAAGGTGATGTACAAGAGTGAAACGGTGCAGCTGAGAGCAGTGGTGGGAGCACGAAGTGAGAATGGGTACGCGAGGCTGCCCCTCTTTGGTCAGAGCTGTCAGACCAATTCAGTTATAAGATGTAACTGCACAACCATGACTTGGGGAAATTTTTCTATCAGAATCCCTCAGGATAGACTTGTAATAATATTCTCTCACATGCAGGAAATAGACACCAATCTTGGGTGCAAAGATATTTTGGAGTTAGACACCAGACTGAGGTTAAGAGATAAGAGTCAGCTCCAGGTCCTGCCACTGAATCTCTGCATGACCATGGGCAAATAATTTAGGGCATAAGACACTCTGCAATGCAAGATGTGACAGACAGGTCCCTTCTAACTTTGCCTCTGGGACTGGAAATAAAATAGTCACTTCAGAGTGCCAGATCTAAAGAGCTATTATGATTCAGAGCTTTTTAAGGAAGGCACAGAGCCAGACTTACATGATGGCTGTGCCAGTGCCAGTTCCAGTGCCTGAGCTGGTGTGAGTGCTCTGTGCCCCATGGGATTCTCCACTCGTACTCAGAAACCTCCACACAACACTGTCTTGGAGGGTGCAACTTCCCTCTCCAAATTGTCCATGCTTCCTGCCACCCCATCAATCCTACACGGCTTCCCTGCCTTGCAGAAACTAGCAGAGTATGAAGGAGGAGATTTAGACAGGACAGGGATTGAGTGTCCAAATGTTCAATGAATCCAGCCCAGAGTGAGACAAGGCTGCTACTGAAGCCAACAGACAGCACATCTTGGCTTTTCTTCCTCTTCTCAAAAGCCCTGTTTGTACAAGGGAAGAACAAGTTGGTTTGGCAGAGATCTAGACAGTCTGAAACCTCGCCACAAACTCACTCCTGAACCTGTCCTGAAGTTTACACAAAGCCAAGCCTGCCAGTTCAGTTACTAGCTACAACCTTCTGTCCTTTTACTACGTTATTTCTGCTATCCCCCTCCCTCCCCACTGTCTCCCCTTCCTTCGGCTGCTCCCAGAATAGCTGCTGAAGTCTCCGCAGCCTGAGCCTCACCGTTTGCAGCCCGGAGGTGTACTCAGCAGAAGGCTCGAAACTGCTGCCTGCTTCTACAATCCACCTGCAAACTTGTTGAGATTCTTTGCTTATAATATGCTTCAACAGACACATTGTCCCACGAGGACTCAACTAAATTGAGTTGCAGGGCTGCAAATCACGAAGCAGCCTCATTTTAATCATGGCTATTCAAGTGCTAAGGAATGCGGAGAGTAAATACATATTTGTTTTAAGGCTATCATTTGTCCAATTTGCAAGAAGAAAATGAACATGCTCAATCCCTGAGGCTTTATTCCTAAGGGAATACCTCAGGAAATGAATCTGCTATAACCACTACATATGAAATACACCCTTTGTTAAATCCTCTACCCACTGCCTTTGTCACGAAGCTTTTCTCCTGGATCCAGTAACCCTTTCATTCACATCTCCAATTCTAATCAGGCTTTAATATCTCACACTTCTTCTGCAATCCCAGCTGCAGTCCCTGTTGGCTTACTGGTGACTGATATCCCTGAGCACTGACTGGAATCCAGCTTCCAGGGTCAAGTTCTGCCCTTGTCTTCAGGCCTGGCTGAGGAAAAAACCATAGTGCCCAGTCCTGCAGGTGTAAACTTGGCAGCAGCTAGGTTGACCAGGTGGTTGGATTTGCAAATCAGTCCTTGACTTCTATGCTACTTCCAACACATTTGAATAAATACTCTGCATACACAGATTTGATCAGCTTGCATTCCCAGTGCTGCAGTGTCCTTCTCTTTGGCGTACCTTACTCTCAGTTAGCCCAGGCAATCTGTAACACAGTGGTAAAACTCTATACAAAGCCCAGTGTTCTGATTGTATCCCAGTCCTCCACATTGCTTCTCCTGGGCTTTTTCCCTCTTCCAGCTCTAGCTGTGGTTTAAGATCTTCCCTATCCTCCAAGCATGATTCAGCCTCTGTGCTGTCACTCTCTGCCCTACTGCAAGGTCTTTCCGTGGCCCAGCATTGTAATGTGTGTGTCCCAAACCTGTTCCCACGCCATCTAACAGATCCTTTCTCCCACCTCCTCCCACGTAGCAACTTGAAATTCACCCTTCTTAAGCCTGTGCATGCAAGCCATACCTTACCCCCTTGAACAACAGCTACCCTTGCACCTAATGGAACTGCACCAGGCAGGGTCAGAATAGGGCTAACACCGAATTCTTCCTCTTCTTAACCTTCAGACCAAAGGTATCCACACGATCCTGACCGTAACACCTCCTTGCCTACGGCATCCTCAGCCCTGCTAACTGAGGGCAGTTGTTTTTGCTGATGCCTGACAGCAATCTCCTGTCTTTGCGGTGAAGTCCCTCCCTCACCCGTGGGCCACTCAGGCCCCTGCCCTCAGTTACACGTCACCCTTCAATTAGCTCTCGTTCTGCGGAGGCGCAGGCTACTGGTTCAACCAGAAGTCGAAGGCAGAAGTTTTGCCTGTCGATGTCCTAGAGGGAAAAGTATCATTGCACCAACAGCCCCTTTGCTTTAGATAACAAAATGTCACTGTACAGAGAGCAATATACTGGAGGGATGGAAAGAGGGAAGGAATTGACACAGTTCCATGGGCTACCCCTCTTTGGCTGAATCCCGGTGACTGACCCATCTTACAAATTCACAGCATCACCTTAAACTCACCACCAGTTACGGTCACTGCAGTGGTAAGCTGATCAGTTGTGACATTTCTGTCTGTGCCCTACATTATGCAATTCGACAACTGTGCAATTAATTCGATAGCTACCTGGGGAACCTGCTCAGTGCCCCCGAGCTTTGATCCGTACTTTGGGGTTTCTTACCTAGTTTCACTCGTGAGCACTGAAGTGAATAATCTGGACACTTTTAAAGAAAGTACTTGCTAAACAAAAGCTACACATTCCGAAACATTCACTTGAGATTTGAAACAAGATCTCGGAAAGCAAAAAGTGACTTACAATTTTAGATACCAGTGACATCGATAATGTTGATCTAAAAAGACAGTCAGGGACAACAAAAATCACCTGCTTGCCCTACTATTACTCATCTGATCTTGCATCTGTTTCCTCCTGAGGGCCTGTTGGAGGGAATGGATGGGTATGAATTACCAGTGAAGTGCCGTGGTAACAAAAACACTGTGCCTTCGGCCTCTCACAGCCCTGGCTTCCTCCATGCAGTGCACAAACCACCCCTGGGTCGCATAGAGGTTGCAAAGCCCAGTCCTTACCTTCTCCTGGTACTGACGCCGTGAGGAGTCCAGAGACTGGATCAGGGCTGTGGCATGGCCGATGAACATGGCATAGCAGGTGGCACCGACAATCATGCTCAGCATAGTCAGCCACACATCCGACATGCCAACGGGCGCCTGCTGCCCGTACCCGATGCAGAGCATGTGACTCATTGCCTTGAACAGCGCGTAGGAATACTGCTTCCCCCAGGAGTCATTCTAAAGAGACAGACAGACAGACAGACAAAGCTTTAGCCGTGGGACAAGACGTTCTCTGAGATGAACACATTTCAGAAAAGGCTACCTAACATTAGATCCAAAATTCCATGTTTAAAGCACCTCTATATGTTAAACAAGCAATTTAATTCTTTGATGGCTTGGAAGTGCTGGGAACGCCTGATTTGAAAAAAAATCCCAAATGTAGTCATTTGACATCAACTGACTTTGGCTTTTACAGATTCCATGTCCTCTTTCCAGCAAAACTTTCCAGAAAGGAAGCCACACGGTCTGACACACTGGCTAGCTGGGATAAACTGAGATGATGCATTGGGTTATTTTCATAATGACCCATGCGTGGGAGAGGGAACTGAAGCAAATGATCACTCCACTGGGAAATGGACTTGGTGACTGGTAAAAGAGAGCCTGAGCGAGGTTGCCAGCAGCAAGATCTTAGAGTGGGGAAAATCACTCCCCAGCAATTTAGGAAATGGTCAGGATCTCTGGTCATTACCTGAAGAGATGGGAAGGGCAGAAAATTAAGATGATAATGTCCAGACAGCAAGTTCTTCTCATTGTGAAGCAGGGCTCTTTCCAGGGAGCTTAGAAAACTACAAATGGTCTCATTGGAGAGAAGCAATAAACCCCTGCGAGAAGCCAGCTGAAGTCAAGGGCTGCTTTCGGACACCCTGCGCTCTCCCACTGCAACTAACACAAGATGCACCTCAGCGATTATATCATGGGATAGGGATAAAAAACCAGGGTAGGTTTCATGATTATTCTGATTAGCCTGAGTTCACCGAGCAGCTCAAGGTACATTTACTCTCCTGTGGGTATTATGTGCTAGCAAGTCCTTGCCACAAAACCTTGTCAAGTAAATGCACCGTCATCACACACTGCTATTACAAGGTATGTGAAAAAATACCTCAGCTACAGTGACATCCATCGCAGCACATAATCTGTACATTCATCAGTCTTCTCTCTGTTCCTGGGAACGTGTTAACATTATGGATATGGCTGTGCAGATACACACACTACGGCAACTGAGAAGGTCATTGTAGAGAAGGTCTGGTTTGTGGCTTGTCAAATAGACAAGCAATACTTTGGTGAACCCCGTTCGGAGAGACGCAGCAGCCTCAGCACCAGTGACCAGTAATGCTGGGAGCTCTGGAGTTTACTGGACACCTTGGAGGGATCTAATCACAATCAGGTGGACGGCTGATGACCTCTCTGCAAACAGTTCTCTGAGTGTCACTAATGTTGATGGAAATTTTTCAGTAAGTAGTAAACAGAAGCAAAGGCTACTGGTGCTGTCTGTGAGCTGTGGCAAGGAGCTGGAACCTCTGGAGAGCGTTAATGCTCGGTTAGGAGATAAGCACATGGACAAAGCCTGGCGATAGCGTTACCCTGGCCATATTCGGTTACATTATGCAAGACAGGTCTGATTCACACTGCAACAAGAAAGGCAAAGCAACAGAAGTGACAGCGAAGCGGACGCAGAAGCAGCAGCGCATTCACAGCCCCAGAAGAGACTGTTCCCTGCTGGCGCCAGCCTGTCTGAGCTCACCTCCCTAACAAAGCAGGAACCTGTTCACCTCCTGCACTGGAAAAAACTACCCTTGAGTCAAAGAGAGAGACAAGGGACAATGTGGCCATCGGTGTCTCTGTTGGCTTGCCAGTGTGTGAGGAGCCACAGGCCAAAGGGAAGCCAGCTCCAAATGAAGGCAAAGAGCTTTTGTACAATGCTGCCTGTCCAGGGCAGCAGGAAGGATCCGACCATGGCGGCTGCCTGATGTGTAAGCACCGAAGGAGTGAATCTCCTTGCTCCTTTGCCTCACCCACGTCTATGCTCTGGTTCTCAGAGTCCTGGCCAAAGAAGCGAGGGGGGCCTGTTTTTCCACCAGTTGGCTTTTGTGTCATTTTGCAGACCCACTTCTGATCTGTGAAGGCACCAAGCATCTCACACACCTTACACAGGCATCCCTGCACCTTCACTGTTAACATTTCTGGGAGCCACAGCCCCTTTCCAACAGCCCTGTAGTATCAGCGGTCATAAGGACGTGGCCCCTGCACTTACAGAATGGCAAACGCCGTAAACTCTACAGCTTTAGCCCATCTCTTGTCCTTGCCTCAGCAGGGAAGTTGTCATCCTGAGACAATAGGCAGGAGCAGTCACACTTGACCAACCTTTGCTTAAAATGGTGCCTCACCTGTAAAGGTGGGCAGCACATTCACAGCTTTACCAGGGCAGAGGCAGTCGTGCAGGTGTCCTGTCCCATCCCTTCCGTGTTACATGAATTCCTTTCCCATGCAGGCATTTCTCACTGGACATTGCAGAAATGCTGCTGCCTCCTGAGTTCAGTGTGGCAGTAGTTTAACGGGGCAGCACATCTTCACAACAGAATTGAGAGCAGGGAGAAAAGAAATGCCAAGCTGAAATTCCAAAGGGAATTTGGGGAGACAGAATAAGAATAGCTGACCTGGAATTTGATATTTCAGGAAACTGGCTGCCGAGGTCTTTAATGGCCATGAATGATCAGAGCCTAAGAGGAACATTTGGGTATCAGACAGGTTCAAGTTTCAAAAGCCATTCTTCCAGCAACTTGCTGCTCACGAGTGCTGTTTACGAGGAAGCTTGCCAGTGTTTTGTGGGAATTAGTCATCCAAAACTACAACATCCAACATCACTGAGCCCCCGTAGCCCGCAGAAACATTTGTGGCTCCCTGGGAACTCTACACTTACAAGTCACAACCCCAATTCCCATCGGCAGCACGGCTCCCTGGGAGGACAGCCTGCTTCGTGCCAGACTGAGATCGCTGAGTAATGACAGACTGAGGGGTGAGAGCTGCAGGAAAACACGGAGCGTTTAAAAAAACAGCCTGAGCAATGTGGTCTGCTGGGAGAAGAGATCAAGGACTGCTGAAAGAGAGGCACTTCCATGAAGGGGGAAACCTTTGAGAGCAATTACCTTTAGGACACAACCTCTGAGCTCTTTGAGTGTCTGTAAAGCGCACTGGCTCCTCGTGGCACAGTCTATGTGATGACTCTTTGCTTACAGGTCTCAGTACATCTTTAGTTTTTAGGTCTGCACTACTCTTTTTTGTTTTCCACAGAATAAGCAGGCAGGTCAAGAATGCAGTACTTTATGCCAGACTAGTCGTAGAGGTTCCAAATGTGTTGTAGACACAAGTTTACTAGCACTATGGTGCCTTACACTGATACAGCTCATTTCTGTAAGAGCCATACCCCTACACTCAATATACCACTATGCCAGTCCCCACGGCGGGGCGGGGGGGGTTGTACGACTCCACATATACTGGAGTGGCAAAAATGGCCCATCAGGGTTGGTAAACGAAGCCTTAAACTGCAGAAAGAAAATGACTCCTCGTTAACCAAATCTCTAAGCAAGCTAAGATGGAGCTACAGAGCTGTGCCCGAACATGGTCAGGAGGGATGTTATCCCAGACACGTGCCAGGCACTGACAGCATTTGCAAAAGGGAGTTAAAATGACTTTGAAGTGGTTCCTTGGACTAGCTTCTTTTTAGCATCCACACTGGCAGTACTAGAAGGGTTTCTCTGGGATTAGTGTCTGGACTGCAATGCTTCTGCCCAGATCTTGAATACCTGGAGACACGTTCCTGGAACTCTTCAAAGGCAGCGCTGGGTTCTGCAATACCTTACAGAAGCACGTAAATAAACAGTACGGTGTCTTATAGGGTGTTTGGGTCTGATGTACATGTGAGTGTACCTGGATGAACCCTCACAGGAGAAAACTAGAGAGAGAGAGAAGTAAAGTCACGGAGAAGTACTGGCAAACTCTTGGGGTAGGAGCACAGTCCATGGCACAATGTTATGCCTGACTTACACCACTAACATTTCACAGTATTAAGGAGCTGTCTGGTGTGAAAGGGCATATTTCAATCTCGTGAACTCCCACATCTGTCTCAGCAGTGATCTTATCTGGCCACAGAGCTGTTACTCGGGGTTTGCTACTGCGCACCACTCACGCCAGGGTGCGAAATAAGGCCTCAGAACATCACTGCCCTCGCCCGGACAACACCGCAACTGCTGGGCCGGCAAGTGGGACGAGACATTGAGATGGTAGGTCAAACTTCCCATCGGACAGAACCTGCCTGTTCTGGGCTTATTTCCAAGGAGAGCTTTGCATGGCCTTCACCTGACAGAAGAGATTTTCTCAGGACTCTGGGCGCACCACTCGCCTTGCCTGGGACTCCCACCCATGCACCCATTGTTCCTGGAGTGCCAGCGCAGGCCTGGGCACTCACCCCTTGCCTGAGCTGGCTGTACCTGGGCCCAGCCCCGGGCCCTGAACACATGCTTTAGCCTTGTTTCCAGCCTTGCCTCTGACTCCCATCACTTGCTGCTCCTAACTGGATTCCCTGGCTAGACCCTGGACATGACTGCCACCCTGCCTTCACTGGAATGGTCAATGGACTCTCTTATCACCATTTCTGCTCTGCCCACCCTGTTTCAGACTGGTAGGACTATGCCCTAGTAGGCGAGGGCATTGCCTACGCAAGGATCACCCAGGGCTCCTGGCTCTTACCCCATTGTGGAGCCGCCCTACTCTTGCTGCTCCCTGACAGATCTTACAAAACACAAAAATGTACTACACAGCTTCATACGGCTGCTGAGTGAGAGTGAGAGGGATCTGCTGGACCAGGGGCTTGGGGGAAGTTAGGAATCGCACAGCAAATCCATGCAGGATTGCTCTGTCTTCCACAACACATGCTGCACCAGTTTTTCTTCCTCCTTTCTACCAGCAACTCTACAACGATGTGTTTTGGGGAACAGGGAAGGGGGGCTAAGCTCAAATGGAAAGCTACTCTTTCTCTTGGTAGAAGGGAAGATGATTAGCATTTCCCATGCAAGGTCGCTGCATTTGACACGGGGATATTTGCCTTCCCTGCAGGGTTTATCAGTTCAGCACCATACCCCAGGGAGCGAGCCACGTGTTTGCAGCAGCTTGAGGTCCCAGCAGAGCTCAGATTTCTCTGATGAGGAGCTGCCAGGCAAGGGTCTTGGGGAGCTGCTGCTGCCTGCACACACGCCGCTCTGCAGCTGACTCACTAACATTTCTCTTTTTAATAAAGTGCCCTGTAGGGAAGCTAATCCCGAAGCCCCTGAGACTGGGGCTGAGAAATTAATACTGGAACCATCCTTCCCTGCCATTTCATAACCAGTTCAGGAAGAAGTCATACAGAGACTCACTCCTACAATTGCTAAAGATGAAACATGGAGTATGTAGAAAACACCAAGACAAATTTGACCCAGGGATTTATTGAGCCTCTGATACGATTTTGGCAACAACAGACCCTTCACGGATCCCCTGGAAGAGGATCAAACCTTTAGGAAGCAGATGGGAAGTGATGAATCTTCTCTTCCTGCTGTGTCGGAATCAGAGCTGGTTTTATGGACTGCCAAGTGGCTAGGTGGGAAACTCCTGAGAGATGGAAGAACAGCACCAGCATACTCAAGCAGAAAGCCTCCAAAGCATTTGGCACCTCACTTTCAGCTCCTCTTGGCTGCAGCAGCTTCAGAAGATTCCTTTTATTCCTGCAGTGGTTCCACCCCAGGCTCCTGTGTGTAATCAGGGCAGTCATGCATCAAGTATATTTATCTCCTCAAAGCTGTGACCAGGTCAATAGAGAATGTCCCAGAATTCAACCTACCAACTCTCTGTCACAGACAGATGCCATCCTGGCCTCCCACCTCCAAACCCTGTCCATCACAGCTCTCAAACAGAGCCATTCTGGAAACTACCATCAAGTTCTTGGCATCAAAGTCTGAGAACAGCCTAGACCACCAGTTTCTTCTTGTTTCCTGACTCAGTGGCCTCTCCTACTACTTCACTAAATACTTACTATATGTAAATTGTTGCACTAATCATGCCATCCACATCCACCACTGATCCCAATGACACATCCGGAAATCTTCTCAGGAGATCAGAGGACAGAACCTCACAGTGAGAAAAACTATCTGATTCCAGAAGAACTAATCACTCTCTTTGTTAAATACTCCAAAATCAGGCTATTTGGAAGCTGGCATATTCCTGTACAGCTTCTGGAATGGAAGCCATCTGAACTTCAGATGGTGGGGCATATAACCACCTCTCCAGTTCTTCACCCCAGTTTCCTTAGGCTCCATTTCTGAGACAGTCACTAAGATAATGGTGTTTTTTTTTCACTTTTATTAAGTGGAAAAAGTGAAGGTGACTTAGCTGCAAAGGAGAAGCAGAAAAAAAAAATCAAACAAGGCAGATTTAATTCCCAGCTTCACAGGCTCTCCAGGCTGGGAAGACAAGTACTGCAGCATGAGTTCTTGCCTGCTAAAGATCTGCTCTGGATAGAAACTTCCAATCCTGTCCCTCTCAGAGACTGTGCTGAGCTCTCCTGCCCGTGGGATGCGTTCTTCCCCCTCTCCTCAGTCTGGTTCCTAAGAAAGGTGCCCAGGCTAAATCTCTTCTTCCTCTGTCCTGTTTCCTGCCACCTTTTCAGACCCTATCCCTTCACTATCCAGCTATCTTGATGGCCATTTATAAGCTCCCAGGTAACTCTTTTTCTAGATTATATAAGTTTAGGTTTCTTTCCCTCCTCATCAGGCTCTGATCCCAATATGTTTGCAGCTCTGCAAGTGGTTTTCTGGCTTTACTGCCTCTGAGTGAAAAGTGTCCAAGAACCAATTTGCATTAGCTCGTGCCATGCAGTTGTGCAACATACTCAGCACAACCCCAGGTCTCTCAGACTGTTTTAGTCTTATACCATTACAGTATTTATTTATCCTCAGAAGCAGCTGGAGAGGGAGAACTCTCTGACTTGCCTGGGATCACACAGAACAGACTTGGGAAGTGAACCCAAAAGAACTTTCAGGCAGTGTTCCAGCCACTGGAGTATTCTTCCTCTCACTGTGTGTCTGGCATTGCTAGTTATTGTCTTCTGTGACGGTTTTCCACACACCAGTTACCAGCAGATCTGGTTGTTCTGACTCTTCAGGTCACTTTGCAGCTTGAGTTGTAGTTCTAGTGGTGTCAGAGCTGAGTGTGCAACTCACACTTGTAACTCTGCAACCCCGCTTTTACCTCTCCCCCCAGGTTGGATGGGAAAAGCAAATAGAAGTTGCTGCCATCAGACAGCAGCCTCCACCCAAATGTTTGGATAAAGGAAACACGGTTCAAATCTGCTGCCCTGAAACTGTCCTGCAAGGGCACCATGGGCAAGTCACTTCATCGGATGGGGATGATTTCTGTCTGCAGCTCTGAGCTCTCCAGGACGAGGAGCTGTATGTCCTTTTGAACCTGAATAGCACAAGCACAATGGGGCCCTGATCTTTCATTGCTCCTGCCGTATAAATAATAAAAAGGCAGCATGGGGGAAGAGAAGGCAGCTGCTGCATGGGTTGTTCTTCTGCTGTAGATAAATAAAGGGCTCCAGTCTCCAGAACTGTCAGTCTGGCACCTTTCAACAGCAGGAAGTGAATGATAATTGCAGAGGGAAGAAATGAATAAATAAACACCAAACAGACGACTTTTTCATGGATGCTCACTCTTCTCAGGCATGGGCAGCATGTGCCCACAGCTCCGCATGTGGGAGGCATGGGAAGTTGGCAGTTCTTTTATACATTTTACATTTGTTCTGTTCTGCCCGAGTGCCTGATTATTAGTTTTTTTAAGAAGAAACTGGCTGGGGGAATCTGGAGGTTAAGAGCTGCAATAAGAGGCAATTTTTTAAGCTTTGTCAGTTTTTGCTGCTTAATCAACTGGACATTGTCCCTTTGAATAAAAGATCCTGAATTCTCAGTGAGATGGTTGAAAGGTACCATGAACTCCTCGTGCATTTACCATATGGTATAAATCTCCCTCACAGCAAAGAGCAGAGTGAGCAGCACAGCTTGGGACATTACTGGGAAGTCTGGTTACTGTTCCCATGACAGGAGGCTG